TTTTAAATTACTTTTCATAATTTTTCATTGTTTTTTTTCCTCTTTTTCATCATTTTTCATCTTTTTTTCATTTTTTTATTATGTTTCATTGTTTCTCTCTTTTTCATCATTTTTCATTGTTTTTTCCTCTATTTTTCATCATGTTTCATTGTTTTTTCCATATTTTTCATCATTGTTCATTGTTTTTTCTCTCTTGTTCAAAATGTTTCATTGTTTTTTTTTCTCTCTTTTTCATCATGTTTCATTGTTTGTTCTCTCTTTTTCATCATGTTTCCTTGTTTTTTCCTCTCTTGTTCATCATTTTTCATTGTTTGTTCTCTCTTTTTCATCATTTTTCCTTGTTTTTTTTCTCTTTTTCATCATGTTTCATTGTTTTTCAATGCTTTTCAATTGTTTAATGTTATTCTTTGAGCTTTGATAAGGCTCAAAAATAGGAAAACGGACAAGATAGAATATTTTCGAGACCCTGGCGAGACATGGCTCCAAATTATATATTTGGAAGCCTTCTATTGCGTGGATGTTTTTCTGTATGTTTCATTGTTTTTGTTGTATTTTTCATTTGTTTCATTGGTTTTCACTTTTTTTCATTATTTTTCATTGTTGTTCATTGTTTTTCAATTGTTTAATCTTATTCTTTGAGCTTTGATAAGGCTCAAAAATATGAAACCGGACAAGATATAATATTTTCGAGACCCTGGCGTGACATTGCTCCAAATTATATATATATATATATATTTGGAAGCCTCCATTGCGTGGATTTTTTTCCGTATGTTTCATTGTTTTTGTTGTATTTTTCATATTCCTGGCGTATCAGATAAAACCAACAATTTTGCTAGGTAAATCCCAAAATATTCAAACTTGTTTCCACCACGTTTGCGTTAAAACCGCAAATTGAGGGTGTGAGGTGCGACCACGCGGTGGACCGGCAACAGCTGTGAATTGCGGGTAGGCATGGCTCCAACTGACTTAAACCCAATAAAACCTATACAACCGCTACATATATATATATGCACATAAGTATTGTGAAAATCAACACAAGAGCATTTCCACACACACAATGGAAAAAATCCAAGTAATTTGGAGCCATGTCACTCTAGGGTCCCGAAAATATTCTATCTGGTCCGTTTTCATATGTTTGAGCCTTATCAAAGCTCAAAGCATAACATTAAACAATTGAAAAACAATGAAAAACAATAAAAAAATAAAATTGTGAAAACCAATGAAACAAACATGAAAAATAAAACAAAAACAATGAAACATACGGAAAAAAATCCACGTAATGGAAGGCTTCCAAATATATAATTTGGAACCATGTCACGCCAGGGTCTCGAAAATATTCTATCTTGTCCGTTTTCCTATTTTTGAGCCTTATCAAACCTCAAAGAATAACATTAAACAATTGAAAAGCATTGAAAAACAATGAAACATGATGAAAAAGAGAAAAAAACAAGAACAAATGATGAACAGATAGAAAAAACAATGAAAAATTATGAACAATAGAAAAAAAACAATGAAAAATGATGAACAAGAGAGGAAAAAACAATGCTAAATGATGAAAAATAGAGAACCAACAATGAAAAATGATGAAAAAGAGAGAAGCAACAATGAAAAATGATGAACACAAGGGAAAAAACAAAAAAAAATGACGAAAAATAGCGGAAAACCAATGAAACATGATGAAATATAGAGGAAAAAACAATGAAAAATGATGAAAAATAAGAAACAAACAATGAAAAATGATGAAAAAAAGAGAAGCAACAATAAAAAATGATGAACAAATAGAAAAAAAACAAGTGATGAAAAAGAGAGAAAACAACAATGGAAAAATGATGAAATGATAGAAAAAAACAATGAAAATAATGAAAAAGAGAGAAAACACCAATGAAAAATGATGAAGCAGAGAGAAAACACAATGAAAAATGATGAAAAATAGGGACGCAACAAGGAAAAATGATGGAAAAAAGAGAAACAACAATGAAAAATTATGAAAAATAATAAAAAACAATGAAAAATTATGAAAAGATAGAAAAAACAATGAAAAATGATGAAAAAGAGAGAAAACACCAATGAAAAATGATGAATACAAGGGAAAAAACAATGAAAAATGATGAAAAATAGGAAAGCAACAATGAAAAATGATGAAACATAGAGAAACACCAATGACAAATTATGAAAAAAGAGAGAAAAAACAATGAAAAATGATGAAAAAGAGAGAAACAAAATTGAAAAATGATGAAAAATAGAGAAGCAACAAAGAAAAACGATGAAAAATAGAGAAACAACAATGAAACATATGAAAAAGAAAACAACAATGGAAAAAATATGAAAAGATAGAAAAACAACAATAAAAAATGATGAAAAATAGAGGAAAAAACAAAAATATATAATTCGGAACCATGTCACGCCAGGGTCTCGAAAATATTCTATCTTGTCCGTTTTCCTATTTTTGAGCCTTATCAAAGCTCAAAGAATAACGTTAAACAATTGAAAAGCAATGAAAACCGATGAAAAATAATGTTTTTTGTTTTCATCATTTTTCATTGTTGTTTCTCTATTTTTCATCGTTTTTCTTTGTTGCTTCTCGCTTTTTCATAATTTGTCATTGGTGTTTCTCTATGTTTCATCATTTTTCATTGTTGTTTTCCTATTTTTCATCATTTTTCATTGTTTTTTCTCTCTGCTTCATCATTTTTCATTGGTGTTTTCTCTCTTTTTCATCATGTTTCATTGTTTTTTTCTATCTTTTCATCATTTTTCCATTGTTGTTTTCTCTCTTGTTCATCATTTTTCATTGTTTTTGTTTTCTATTTTCATTATTTTTTATCGTTTTTCATTGCTTTTCAATTGTTTAATGTTATTCTTTGAGCTTTGATAAGGCTCAAAAATAGGAAAACGGACAAGATAGAATATTTTCGAGACCCTGGCGTGACATGGTTCCAAATTATATATTTGGAAGCCTTCCATTGCGTGGAAATGCTTGTGTGTTGATTTCCAAGATATGTGTATATATATAAATATTATATAGAGAGATATAGACATATAACCGTGGCAGGAGGGAGTCCACTTGGCATGTTGGCTTAGCTGATTTGTAAGAGGCTTTCGCAGCTTTACTGGGATTTACTGGGATTTCCCCCCAATTCCATAATTATCTATACCGACTTGTGATTATTTTAATTTCAGAATATTCTATCTTGTGGGTGCTAGACCCTGTGTTTTTTGATATTCTATCTTGTCCCGACTAAGAGTACAATATTCTATTTTTTAGCCGGTCACTATATATGTATGAATAGTTATATGTATATATGTCCTGATCTGAACTATAAGGGTGTTCCCCCCATTTTGTAGTTCCCCGTAATAGGAACTATTTACCTGGTTTTGGATATGTGAATATCCACAATGGTACTTTGAGTTTGGCTTGCCCCAAAAGAGCCAGTCCAGCGCCATAAGTGCCTCGCAAAGTGAAGGTCGATGTCGCCAGTGAAGAAGTTGTATGTGTGTGTGTGGAAGTTGTGTGTGAGTAAGTGGTGTGTGGGCAAGTTGTGTGTGAGCAAGTTGTGTGTTGACAAGTTGTGTATGAGTAAGTTGTTTGTAGACAAATTGTGTGGGAGCAAGTAGTGTGTGAGCAAGTTGTATGTGGACAAATTGTGTGTGAGTAAGTGGTGTGTGGACAAGTTGTGTGTGAGCTAGTTGTGTGTGGCAGGCGGCCGGCAGCGGGAGGAGGAAGCAGGCGGGAGTGCAAAACCAAAAACAAGAACCCCACACAAAGACGTGGGGAGAAACCTTAGGCGTCCGTGTGCGTGTTTTTTTGGTTTCCTCCATGTGCATTTTGTGTTCAATGCGGCAATTTTTGGTTTGATTTTATTGATCCGAGTGCTGTATTGGCCCGTGAGGCCGTTTGGGCCTGGATAATATGGTGCTTGAATTGAAACACCTTCCATGCAAACAGAGAGCATGGCATGGTCTCTTTTACACCTGCATGCACGGTTTGTTATTACCTGTTTTGTCATGATTTCGGTGTCTCTGATTGAGTTCAAATGCCATGGGCACAGCAACCGCAACCATTTTTTTCTTGTAAAATATGTAGCGCAACGTGGACGCGTGTTTGCAAATTGCACTTTTTGATGGTGGCTATGTGCTAGCGTGTGAGAATCAAAACCGAACGGGTTTTGAAGAGGACCAGTTTAGTTTCAATGACGATGAACAAAATTGCATGTCATTGGATTTTTTTTTTTTGAAATTTCGTTTTTTTTTGGACATGATCCCAAATCCCAAGTTCAATATATTTTCAATCTACTTAGTGCAGGCATCATGCAAATTTTGGGACACGCAACCATGCAACTTTTGCACTTGAAGAGGCCAAAATTGATTGAACATAATGTTTCCGTTTTTCGTGCTCAAGCTTGGAACGAGTTGGTTAGGCACTCTTTGGAATACCCCGTGTCTTCCAGCAAGCGTGCGTTTTGCGAACAATGGCAGGCCTGACATTTGCCATCAAAAAGTCTGAAACCACATATCCCTACAAAGGCCAAATTTGGGACATCAAAGACGTTCTGGCAAAACCGACCTTGTTTTTTATTTTTTTGCCAAGATCCCAATGCTTTAACATGCTCTGTTGCAATACGGAATTTTCCAGGGCGTCAATTAACAAGTTCGGACGTGACCACCACCTGCCATTTTTTTGCGCTTTGCGGAAGGTGTTGTGACTGAGCCCGTGCCAATTACCGATGCCGCTCCTGTGACCAGTGCAGCAACTTGACCGGGGCATTAAAAGAAAATGGCGTGCCGTTGTTTTTGTCATGGATATGTTTCGGTCGTGCCCGATTTTTTGTACGTGTCACATGTTGGTTTGTTCAATTTCAGTTTGAATTTTGGCCACGCAACCTCCCTTGACTCTTTAAACGCATGGATAAATTTTTGATTTTTTGATCAATTTACAAATGGAAACAAACCATTTTCAGGGATTCCCAGTTGTGTTCCAGGTACAGTCTGTCACACTTTTTCACATCAACGATGCAAAAATGAATACGCAAAAAACGACAGGTTTTGGTCCTTGGTTTGCCAATGTCGTTTGAACAATGCAGTTCCGCATATATCGTGAAAAAAATATTCGTTGCGGACCATTATCATTTCTCCTCATTAGATGTTTGTACGAACAGATCATGATCAACAAAAGATGGAATTGAAATCCGAATGAGTGTATCGATTCGGTGGAATTGATCACACCTTGAGGTTCAAATGGGCACTGGCATGCCCATCAGCACCTATCCGACCTATCCTATGGAACCTATTGGCGACTTCGGCAGAGGTTAGATGTTTTTGATGGTGCTCGGAAGGGGATATGATCGATGTGATCCTGAACTTCTGCTGTGGGCTTGAAAATTCTTGAAATATGTCGAGATAAAGTCGAGATATCAGGAAATATTTTGTATGAAAACAATTGAAAACATGCAAAAACACAAAATCTCTATGTTTTCTTGTCATTTCTGTGTTTTCTCTGCAGGTACTCCCCAGATGGTCTACTCCCCCTCTCCATATGTGATGCCCGGTGCAGCCTCCGTCAGTGCCATGCCCATGACCAGCTACACCACTGGAATGCCATATTCCTTCAGCACCTCGGAGCCAGAACTGAATGGATGAAGAACCGTGGAACCGTAGAACCGTAGACCGTAGAACCATTTTGTTCGAGTTTGCACAGGAACATGTCGATTCAAACATCAGTTTTTTAGGCACCTTGAGTGCTGAACACATTGTAGATATCTAGCAGGACGACACGACAACGTTTTTTAGATCACACACATGCCCAAAGTGACATCTCACTCTGTTCCAAGAAAAAATGAAAACCTTCTTGGGACATGAGATACTTCAAGTAGTATTCTTGCCTGTGACTGCTGTCACATCAGGCCAGGAGTTATGTTCCAAGCTGTGCCGAGGCAACTTGGATCACTCCCAAGGCAAATGGTTTGCGCCGGGCGAGGCTCTCCCTCCCGGTTTTATGGTTTGCGCGCACCCAGACGGCCACACTGCCCCACAGGAGGGCCACTCAATGTCCGACCAGGCCGGTTCGGCCGAGTCCATTTGAGTCCACTGAACCACGTTTTTTCAAGTTTTTTCATTGAACAAGTTGAACTTTTTTGAACCTTTGTGTTTTCCTTTTTAGAAGTGCCAAAGGATGATGCGACATGATGGGTTTTCAAGTGTTTTTCGGTTACAATTGCAGTACAGGTCGAAATGTTTCCTTGGAAACTTGACATGCTTGTAGCTCGTGTGTTCGCAGGCCCGTGAGAGCTTTGTTATCACTACGGGCACCTCAAAGCCTGGCTCTTCGCCCACCAAGAGCAAGGTATGCTGGGTGACTAATGATGACCAGTGATGACTGCAGCAGACTCCTTTGCAAGCGCTGCATCTATTGCCACTGACTCCGAACATTCCGAACCACGAATTTGATGGTTTTGGTGGCTTGAAGTGGTAGTGATCTCAAGGGTACACCCAAGTCGTATTTTTTTGCACCAGCAAACACATGGCCATTCCCAATGGAGTCTTTGAGTGCCACTCCCCCAGGGCAAGAAGAGCAAGAAGAAGAAGTCCACCTGCTGCTGAGGGGGACACTTTCGATCTGTGGTGGAAACCACTCGAGTTTCCTGGCCGGACCTTCCTTTCCGATGGATTTGAGCTAGAAAGCCGAGAACAGCCGGACAACAAAAGATCTGGCAGACATGAGATGTGGCTTGTGGCAATTTCAACCAATTCATGAGGGGTTTGGTTGGTTTGGTGTTCAAAATGCTACTGAACTCCAGTGCGCACTTTGGTCCATTGGTCTGGCCTATGCAGATTCTTAGACGGCGGGCTAAGCTTACCATACGATCCGGTGGTGTCGTCCCTGAAGGCACAATTGGTGTCTTTCACCCAGGCGACTCCACGGGGGACTCCGCGGGGGACTCCACTCAATTCCGGGAGCGGAATATTTCGACGCCCCTTTTGCCGAAATGGACCTGGATCCAAGCACTTTCATGGACCTGGTATCGGCTAATATTTAAGTTTTGAATATAATTAAATCACCCATGAACTGGTTGGGCACCCAAGCTAATAAGTATGGAAAGAATGGGAAAAGATCTATGTATGATTCAATGTAGTTTAAACCTGAAAACACAAACTACCTCTACAGAGTGTTGTTTGTTTGCTTTGTCGTGGCATCAAATGGGAGAGTATCAAATGGGAGAGTCCTTGACAATCTTCTTGATTTTGCAAAGATTCTTTTTCCCCTTTCAGAAAACCTTTTGGGGGTGTATCCAGCCTGCAAGCAGCTTTGTGTTGTGGCGGGCCACAGCCAATCACTTAGATAGATACAAAACTTTAACATTCAACAATCCATAATGACTGATAGCTTTGTAAGATTTGTGTAGTGATGACAGGACCTAATGACGCTCTCAACTAAAATTCATGAGGTAGAAGTTCACTGCAGTAGTTTGTCACCACTGCATGGTGAGATAACTTGTATGTGAAACTTCTTGTTATGGTCATTGTTGTTCGGGCGCTGGATCCAATTTCCTGCAAGAGATTTCGCATAACTCGGACTGCTCAGTGTGCGGAAGACAACTGCTGAGCTTGCAACTGAGGGGACGTTGAGAGGACGTTGGAGCTGTAGTAGAGATCAGTCTGAAACTTCACATGTGAGTCATATGATGTCATATGAGTCTGAGTCATGTTTGGATACCCAAAACTTGACCAAGATTCGTGGGCCTAAGATTTTGATAGCCATACTGTCTATGGTAAGTTACTGTTTTAGGTCATTTGAATTATTTGGAATCTCTCAGCCAAAGCCGTTGCATGACAGACTTCAATTTGAAAAGCTATAGAGAGCTACCAAGAGGCATAGATATGAAGGCAAACTGGATTTGCAAGGCCGAAAGGTTTAAAAGCAAAGGAAAAAGCAGGAGAAAGCACATGTGTCACATGGGACTTGTGATTCCTTGCATGGCCTGATAGCCGATGACTCCAATTCTTGTCAGAAACCTGGTCAAAAGTAGCAACGCGTTGAAGGCGTTGGCTTCAGGGAGCCCATGCGGCGTGGCGAACTCACTGCAGTTTGGTTCAAGCTGAAAAATTGTTCCCTGCGCCTGGGGTCATGGAGCCTGGTGAGTTTAGCACTCAGGATGGGAGCACATCATGGCAGAGCCAATATTGATCAATATTGTATAATTTGTATATTTCGGTATTTCTGCCAGCCATTGTTCATCTATTTCAATACAAATACAAGACCAGACTTTTCAATACTTTGCTGCTTTATTTCATATGACAAGTATTTAAAACAGTATTTACAAGTAGTTTGACTTCCGTACTGACCCTGGCTTTCTTTGTATACAGCTGTGCTGAGGTATGATGCCTTGGTGGTGAAAGCTCGAAGTAGCAGCACAGCTGTGGCTTGGATGCTGAGTGAAACTTATTCAACCGACAACAAGGAAACAAGAAAGAAACAACACAACCTCTGTGAAAGCAGGGAGCTGAATCCCACCTTTGGCACTTTTGATGTTCTTTTTCGGAAATAGGTCCTTTTGCATTCAATTCTTGAGTCTTTTCGCAGCTTTTTGCAATTGTTTGCTTCCACATTGTTTTCGATTGGACTTTTTGAGTTTTCTTCCTTTTTGACTGGAAGGATCTGCACATTCTGAGGCACTAGAGTTGCTGCAGTTTATGCGGAGACTTGGTTGCAAGTGGGGCTACACCAAATTACATCAGAACAACCAACTGACTTAAACTGAAAGCTGTTTGTGCTGTCTGTCTCTGTGTATGTACTGTTTGTATTACAAGATGTAATTAAAACATGTAGAACAAAATTAGAAAAAACCTATCACAAGATGTCACAAGTTTTCTCCCAAACACATTGACATGTTGGGGTCTTAGGAGCCCAAGGCACATGGCTTCAGTGACTAAGAAAATCACAACATGTGTTGCAAACGTGTTGGAGAGATGAAAGAACATGAAAAAAAACATCAAGATAAGAATATGCTATGAATATGCTATGAATATGCTATGATTACGTGAATTACGTTAAGATGGATTGAGAAGTGTTGTCACCATGAAGTATTTTGATGCGGCATCCAAAGCAAGATCAACTGAAGCAGATCTAGAGCATTGCTATCGACGACTTGTATTTTCTTTGAGCAAGTCCTAGCAACAAGCAACTTTTGTTCCAAAAAAAAGAAAGCACAGAGTCGCCAGCTAGAAGCTGCTACAAGCGGCTACAACCTAGCAGATGCAGACAGCTACCACGTAGTACCACGTATATCCCCTTCTGACGACTCATCCACTTTCAATGATTCATTGCTGGCTTTGAGGACACACAAAATCCACCAGCCTGAGTTGGTCCTTCAGCACGGTGCCTTTGGCTTTTGAACTTTGCACCATTTTGCAGCCGACATCGGAGACGTGTGACGTGTGCACAGTGTCGATGCGAAAACCGTCAAAGGTGTCCAGGACAAGTGTGTCATGCCGCCGACGCTGTTTCATGACAGGCGATGACAGGCTCTATGATTGTTGAATATTGTTGACCTGGGATGTAAGAGAACCTGCCACGATTTTTCTAGACTCCAAATGATCGACACAATCGACACAATCGACCCGCAGCATCCTGTGGCATTTTCTCATTGACAGTTTGCCTGAGGTGCCAAGTTGGTGCGAAGCCAACGGTTGGGCAACGAGCTGTGGACTGTGCATAGCTCAGACTTAGGAGTTTTTCTGGTTCGTTGTGAGTTTTTCAGAAAGTACTTGTGAGAGCTTTCAACTTGAACCTCCTTTTCAACATGTTTGTCACTGTCTCCAGCAAGGCTGGGGTTGATTCAAGCTTCTGTTACCATTCAGGATTTTGATGAGACACTTTTCATCATAATCAGAGAAGAAGTTTCACTGCTGCAAACGGCCCACTTTCCTTGAGGTCCTGGAACAAGTCTTCATGGCCGCAGCAGAATTGGGTTGTGACGACTGGCGGGAGCCGTGGGCGGAGGGCGGAGGGCGCAGCGGCAGGTGTGGCGTGAGACCCGAGCACCTTTTTTCTTTTTTTTGTGTTTTTTCCCTTTGCCTTTTCCATCCTTTTCCTGTTTTTTGAAACTTATTTTTTACCTCACACTTTGCTTTGCTCAGTGCTGCTAAACGAGCGGCTTGAAGGCCATGGATGGTGCCAAACAGAAACACAGTCGTCGGCAGCGAGAGGACTACTGCCTCAAGGAACTCACGAAGAACTTCCCGTCGTCGCTTCGAGTCGAGCGCTTGAAAGGTGCGCCCCGGGTGAGAGTTTTGGAGGACAACAAGTGTTGTGTATAGGATACAGTGGATACATTTTATAATACAACAGAGCAAAGTACTCTTGAAACTTGAAACTAATGTATTTGTCATTTCACTTCAGCAACACGACATGTTTTCTATTGTTTTCTGACAGCGACCATTACTCACAATGAGCTTTAATGACTTTAATGACGTCACTTTCCTGGCAGGCATTGAGAAAGAAAGTCAAGCAGACTGGAAGGAGGCCAATCTGGGTTTGGCAATGCAGGCATGACATTTGCAAGAGGCACGATGTGTCTTCAACGTGCGGAACAAATATATCCATGTAATTCCATGCAAACAGGACAATTCAGGGTGGAACATGGCACGACATCAATACCACATGGCTTTCACACGACATAAACTTCGCAATCGTGGTGATTCCGAACGGTTTCTCTTTCTACCTAGGACACGGGACATGTGCCCAAAATCGGTCTACTTTGTTTACATGTCGCTAGTGTGAGTTCATCCATTTCATCCGTCTGTGTTTCAATCTCTTGAGATGTTTTTTTTTTTTTTTCGATGATATTGATGCGCGCATATGCGCGCGTTTTTCCTTTGAAACTCGAAACTGTTCCACATCGCAAGGATGGCTAATCGATGGACCTTTCAGGGACTCCAAATGTTCAGGCAGCCGTACAACTTGATGCAGGCTGAAAAGATCTATCAGAAGATCTTGTCGACAAAGCCTGAGGCGGGCAACAATCAGCCGGGATTGTTCACCAACGGGGGAACAAGGTGGATCAAGCTTCCAAGGGTCTAGATAGTACCATGCTAACAGCTGCCACAATGGAAGTTATTTGTACGAGTAGATCCAGGTATATAGACTATATAGATCCAAATCATGTGCCCCAGACGTTGTGAAGATGATTTCAGCTGCCAGGACACCATGGCTCACAAGCGCCTCATCGCTATGTCGCCTGGTGGAATCGTAAAGCGTATGGAATCTGTTCAGTTTGTTCAGTCTGTTTGGAGAAGGCAGTTGAAGTCTGCCCTTTCCAGGAAAAGACAGTCTCCAGTGTTGAAATGTCTTGCATTGCATGCATTCCATGTTGTCATGTTGCATCCGATGAGCTTCCAGCAGCTTCCAGCAGCTTCCAGCAGCTTCCAGCAGCTTCCAGCAGCTTCCAGCAGCTTCCAGGCACAAGCAGAGCGGCAAAGTTTCAGAGGCGCCGGGTACAGCGCCGGGCGCAGCGCCGGCTGGCGCCAAAGTTGACCAGGAATCATGATGAGACATGACGAGACATGACGAGACCCGACCTGAGGTTATGCTATGCCGTTATGACTTTCATATGCCGGGCCATGTTTCTTCCTTATGTTTCTGGCCACTTGATGCGGGTTATGCGGTTATTCCATATGAACATGCGGGATGCGACCGAGAATTGCAAGCAAAACAAATATAGCCAAAAGTGCATTGAGATTTAGTGACTTGAGATTTAGTTCCCACTCCTGAGAGTTCAAGGAAAGCAGCCGTAGTCGTTTTATCATTTCAGTGAGATTTTTGCAGCCAGAGTGAAACCAGTGAACAAGGGACCGAATTATTGAATTCTTTCCAAAGCGACAAAGCGGTTCAGTGTTGCTTCACAACAACCTTTGGCCCCAATGGGAAGAATTTGCAGTCAGCGTTTGCTATGGATGATAGGAACAACGCCACGTTTGGCCTTCTGAAAGAAATCATATCATATTTAGATATTTACTACTAATTTACTACTGTTCAGATCCTAACTGAGGTTTGCAGTAAAGAATGGGACCCGCTGTGGCCGATCTTCCTGCAAGGCCATAGAAGCAATCAACACCTATCTGCAGACTTTCAGCACTGATTCAGAGGCGGCAGATCCAGAAAAATCCAGGAACCTGAGATTATGGAGCGAGCATGCCATAAATTTTGTGACTTGCTTGGAGAAAATCGGTTTGGTGGCATTTGTGCAGTTCGGACATGATCCTCCCAAATCATGCGTATATCAATATGTTCGAAAACATACACGTCGACCGTCCAATACTCCCACGATGAGATATCCTTTTTTCGTTCTCTGTCTTCATCCTTTTCATTGAAGCGCAGGAATCACGACTTTTGGGAACAGACATATCATGCATGATAGGAGGCAGTGAAAGTGCCCTGAAACGATGAATCAACTGGTGAACTCTAGGTGCTCTTTCAGATCTCAAGTGATGAGCAAACGTTAACTTTTCTGGATCTCAAGTAATCTGCCGGCTCTGCTACTCGGGCTCCACCCTGGCATGACTGCCATGATTGTCATGACTGGGATACTGTTCTTTACTATTGCTCACACTGGTGTCTTGGCAGGTGTGGCATGAGCTCGGTGAATTGTACATCGAGGCTCCTCCGCCAAGAGTTTTGAGATGGGAGAGTTCGGCGAGTCCGGCAATGAACACCAACCCGACATGAACATCAATCTATGTATAATTATGTATATGAATAATGATGTATATGTATATATGTATATATGTATATATGTATATATGTATATATGTATATATGTATATATGTATATATGTATATATGTATATATGTATATATGTATATATGTATATATGTATATATGTATATATGTGGTGAAAGAATTTCAAAGAATTTCTGATGGACAAAAGTGTGGTCTCGGCTGTGGGCCATTTTGGCTCAAGAACCACAGCTGACCCATCACGATGATGCTTTTCTTCTGTTGCGCGGTCAGCTATGTTTCCAGCTCAATCGAGGGCTTTGGCAATGACTTCAATTGCGGAAGTGAGGGAGTTCTACGCGGTGCCGAGGGACCTTTGGGGCTCTTTTGTGCAGGCGGCAGGCGATCCAGGAGAGGATTTGAAGCTCCTGGGGACTGGGACAAATGGCAGGATCAGTCTCCTTTCTTGGACCAGCGTCAAGGACATGGGCACGAAGGTTCTTCAGGCCAGACGGCAAAGACGGAGGTGCCTGGGGAACGGAAATTGAAAATGACTCAGGTGATCGACCAGTCGGACGATGGAGAATTTGTGGTGCAATAGGAAGAGGTCCGGGCGAAGTGGTACCAACAATACCTCCAAACGACGACCGGTGGTTGGCCGCCCGAGGAGGAGGACCCAACATCAGAACAGGTGAGCGCCTTGGACAAGCGCATCAACACGCAGGACATCTCACCGTTCGTGGATTTTGGTGTTTGTGTCCCTTATGGATCAAAAGCCCTGAGGGCGAGCAGGTTCAGGTCATATGTACTCACGGCCAGCGGGTACGTCACGAAGGAATTGCCGGGACCTGCGACATTTGTGCAGTGGCGTGCATCATTTCGAATTTTGCGCACTGCACTGGTGATGCTGGATGCAGCGTCTTTAGCATCACTGCATGCATACGAGATGACCATCGAGCGTTTGACAAGGACCTATCCATCAGCTTGGCACCTCATTTACTCAGCAGACGAGCTGGCACGGTCTTCACACTCGAACCGTTTGAGGTCAAGGATGGTCATTGATGCAAGAGCTGGGAGAGATGTTCCTTTGGCATGGGACCCAAAACGGCCTTGGGACTTCATCTTCAACCTGGTGGCGATGGACGACAGTTTCTGGCAGCAACAGGTCATCTCCCCAGCTCTGGCTTGGATTGCGCCTGGAAGCCAAGGGAGGCCGAAGACACCAGCAGAGCAATTGGCAGCTGGGTTTATGATTGGAGGAGTCAATGCGATAACTCCACAAGTGGAAGGGGCAAATCAGAACATCGATCCGGCTTTGTCAGGGACGCGAGGGACGCGTCGAAGGAACACAGGGAAAAGACAAAGAGGTGGAGGTAGCGATGGAGACGAGCCGCACGGCAACAACAAAGGAAGCGGCACAAACGAAAACAAGAAAGGAAAGGGAAAGGGGGCCGTCGAAACAGCTTTGTTATGGTTGGAACAATGGAAATGGCCCTTGTGCTGGACTACCTCCAGGACAGCCGTGCGCGTGACGCGGGAGCACAGGTGCACAATGTGCCAGTCGCCGGGTCACCCATCCAAGGACTGCCCCAAGAAGAAGGAGTGACGCGTCATGCAGGAGAAGGAGAAAACCCGAAACAGGAGAAGAAGGACAGCGAAACGAAGGGAGGTTCAAATGAAGAGGACTCGTACTCTTATACATATGAGTCCGAGGAATCAGAAGAAGAAGAAAAGGAGGAAGACAACGATGAACCGGAAGAGAAGGACCCGCTGACGTCCAAGACATTGGAGGAGTTCTACAGAGGGTTTTCACTTTCATCCATCATTTCGCTGGAAGCAGGGACCCTTTGTCGAAAGTGCTCAGGCTGGAGGCTATTCGGCAGGGGATTAAGATCAAGATCATCAGTGTCGAGAAGTCGAACGACACAGGGGACCTAGCAGCTACGGAACCTTACACGACTCCACGACCCATTTGACTGAGGTGGGCACGAAGGGGCTATGTGGATGGCTACCACGCCGGGTTTCCATGTCTTAGACATCGAGTGGCGGCCGACATGCCAGGACCGGTCAGGACGAAATCTGAGCCTTATGGAAGGCGGGACAACTCGGACCGGGAACAAGCTCAATGTGACGAAGGCACAATCCTGGCTTGTAGGGCCATAGACATGTCGGTGGCTGTGGCGGAACGCAAACAGGTTCATAGAGTGCCACCGGTAGCAACTCTGGAAAACCCGCCACCAAGCGACTGTCCGGATCACATATCGGCGTGGGAGCTTCCAGAGATGGACAAGTTCTTGCAGAAGGACAAGAGGTTCTATGCAAGGTTCAACACCTGCAGGTACGAGTCCGGGGTTGAGTTGGGGAAGAGGCACTTCAAACCCCAACAATTCGCGGGCTCTTTATTAGGCCTCCCTGAGCTATCCAAGGAGTGCCAATGTGGCAAACACACCAAGCACGAACCGATTGTGGGCCCGGAGAAGTCGAAGGCATCTGCGGAGTACCCGGAGAAGCTTTGCCGGGAGTACGCCATATTGGCGGTGTCACAACTGAAGTTGATGGGAAAGGAGGAACTCTTGAAGTCGAGAATGGAATCCCTTCAGGACAAGATCGAGAAAACGAAGGCAGCGGTGGTGGACCACGACGTGCTGAGTGGTCATATACCACGACCCCCAAGTCCACCAAGACGAAGGTCACGGACGCCAAGGGGGAGACCAATAAGGCCAAGCAGAGAGGTCAAGACCAGAGCATCCCCATCTTCTTCCCTGCCGGAGGCGGGCTCTTCGAGAAGGAGGGTCAGGAGCCGGAGACGCGCCGATCAGGGTGATGCTACGGACTTGAAGGAGCCGGACAACAAGAAGGTGAAGTTAGAGCCCAACTTGGCAGCAGGAATCTGGGAAGGAAAGTATGGTACCTTGAAGGCTGACAGAGCAAAGAAGGCGGCGTCTCAACAGATGGACTATCTGGGGGCATGCGAGACCCTTTCAAGGTAGTGTTGCAGATGGCCAACCTCCAATCTGGGGATCAGAGTCAGAGCAGCCTGGGAAAGATTCGAGAGAGAGGTGGCCAACACCAGCGCGGTGGCGGAGTCGTACGGCACGAAGGATTGTGCGCTGGATCTAAAGCTTGTCGAAGAATGGAGAAGAAGGTATTGGGAGCCCAAGCACCCAAGACGGTTAGGGTCAAAGCAAAGTGGATCTACAGCTCCCCGTTGCAGGCGGAGATCTTCCGGGCTTGGGTCTCAAGAGGAAACGACCCGGAAGTACATATGCCCAGGTGGATAGAAGAAGGTGCGCCTTTGGGGATTGAGGTGCCGATAGAAGTGGCAGGTATCTTTCCCCTGAACACGGAGGAATCAAGCCTCGACTTCGTGGGGGCGCACGAGTTGGAGGACGCTGCAACTCAGCTGAGCAGGGGTGAAATGGTCAATTACATCTCGGTGCAGGACAACGTCAATGAGGCCAAGATCGAACTGGACCGCTACAGACAGCGGGGCTTCATGGTGGACGTGCCGAAGGCTATCGTGGAGTCAGAGATGGCCCATGGCACGAGAAGCCGGCTCGGTTTGATCATCAAGGAGAAGCCGGAGGGCGTCAAGAGGCGCATCATCTTGGATTTGAGGCGGAGTGGAGGAAACCGGAAGTCTACTTTGCCGGAAAAACTGGTGCTGCCCCGTCCGAAGGTTGCAGTCGAGATGATTCGGGACGTGTATGGCCGTCGACAACCCCATGCAGCCGAGGGAAACTTCGCCAGGGAGCTTGTGATCGACATTAGTGATGCTTACATGTCACTGGGCCTCGACCCCAAGGAGTTGCCCCACGCATTGGCGCCAAATGTGGAGAATGGGGATTTCTACTTGTTCTCAGCGATGCTGTTTGGATTCAAGACTGCGCCCGTAGTGTGGTCTAGGGTGGCGGCCTTGGTTGCGAGGCTGTTGCAATCGCTCCTTCAAGGTGATGAAGGGATGCATCAGGTCTACTTGGACGACAGCCTATGGGTTCTTCAAGGAAGCCTCAAACAAAGAAACTCCAACCTGGCGGAGAGAGCCTCTCACGTTCAGTGGGTGGGAGTGAAGTTCTTTCTGAAGGATGATTTGATCATTTTGTCGCTGCCGGAGCGTTTCACGAAGGACTTGCTCTCCCTCTTGTGAGGTTGGGACGGCGGGAAAGCTGTCGTGGCTATCCGGGATTTTGCCAAAGGCGCGATGGTTGGTTTCACTATTTTACCGGGTCTTACACGACAGATTGGACGACATCGTCTCTGGAGAAGAAGCCAGGCGCCGCAATCAAAGGGCAGATCAGAGACCCAAGGATGGACGCTTTGCAGTCAAACAACTTGAGCAGGCCCGACAGTGGCTTATGACGTTCTTGGACATGGCCATGGAGAGACCACAGCGAGCTTTCAAGTTGGACGTGGGGCAGTATCCCAAAGGGATGGGAGCCATCTTGTTGATAAACAACAAACTGGTCAAGGCACTGGCGTTCAAGGTGACGAAGGTGGACGCCGAACAACTCAACTGAGGACAGCTGGCAATCATCGGCGTCACAAGGGATTGTGGAGATGTTGGCGGTGTTGCTGGCGTTGAAGGCTTGGACAACGCAGCTCAAAGCATGCCAGCTAGTGCTTCAGGTGCAATCGGACAGCATGATTGCACTGGCCACGACCCAGAAGTTGAGCAACCCGTCACCCACCTTGAACTTCATCGGGGCGGAGATCGCGATTCAGTGCTAGGCCATCGGAATCGAAGGTCTGAAGGCGACGCACATCCCCGGGGGTCGCGAACTCAATAGCAGATTATTTGAGTCGCCCGGACAAATGGGACTCGGCCGAAATGCCCATTCAAAAGGATGTGGAGGAAAGGGGGCCTGAGTTTTACCATTTGCCCACACCCGCGAAAGCGCCGGGGTTGTGGCTCTCCAGTGCGGCGGCCAATGATGTATGG